CTCCTGCCTCAGCCTCCCAAGTGCTGGGTTTACAGGCATTTGCCACCACACCAAGCTCCTTAACATTTCTTTCACACATACACACACACACACACACACCCCCGTACTGGGAATCTAACTCACAACCTTGCACTTGCCTGGCAGGCGCTGTGCCACTGAGCTCTTTCTTTTGTTGTTGTTTTTTTCTGGTACCAGGAATCAAACTCACGACCTTGCACTTGCCAGGCAGGTGCTGTGCCTCTGAGCTAAATCCCCAGCCCCCCTTAATATTTCTTTAGATGTGCTATGTATGTTGTTCAATTCTCTTATCCAGCTACTAAACAGCTTGGGAATAAAGAAGTTGCCCACATTTTGGGGAAGAAAAGTTTCATTGATTTTGGTGCATTTTCAGTGTGTGGGACAGTCAAGTCTGTAATGGTTAAGGTGCCTGGAAAAGCTGGGGCTGCCACAAAAGGTATCTGCACAAGACCTACCTCCTGGTGTTACAAATTAGTTGACATGGCCTAAAGTAAAAGTGGACAAAAAATTCTTGTCCTGTGTTTTGTCTGGAGGAGTTCTTCACTCACGGTCCATTCTCAAGATAGCTGAATTCCATGAGTCTGAGATGCTAATGACCCTCTAACTGATACTGCCTCAGATTCACATGGCATCTGAATTACTGTCTTTATGGTCATCAAATTTTTTTAAAGTTGTGCATTCTCCTGTGTTCTTTTATGTGGTGTTGTCTTACAGTATCATCCAAAATCATTATTTGGCCTATGGTTCTTTTGCTGACATGCTCTTTCTTGGGTTTGGAGGTAGAGCATGAAGATAACATTAAAGGGAACACTGTGTTTTGTGAAATGAAATCTAATAAAGTGCCACAAATGTCGACATTCATCATTATGTTCAGGTTTTTGTAAAAGCACAGTTACTGTGCGTGATGGTGCACAATCTGTAATCCCGTCCTTTGGGAGGCTGAGGCAGGAGGGTCGTACGTTTGAGTCCCACCTAGGTAACTTACTGAGACTCTATCTCAAAATAAATAAAAATTAGGGGTGCGGTTAGTTCAGGGTAAAGGCCTTGGGTTCAACCCCCAATTTTAAAAAAAGCTGTAAGCCCTTTTGTGTCAGCGGAGGTAGTACTGTGTTTGCCCAGGTAAGCAGAGCTCTAATCAGTATGTCATATATGGTGCAGACTTCTTTTTTTTTTTGCATGGCTTCTACATTTGACAGAAGGAGGTATCATGCTTTCCCAGTTGAAATGCACAAGTCTCTTTCTTCACCAATGCCCCTCAGGCTTTCATATCTGTAACGAATCGCCCAAGGATCTCATTCAAATGCAGATTCATATTTCTGAGGTCTAGCCTTGACCTGAAACTGCATTGCTTCCTCCTTTTTGCTTCACTTCACTTCTCCTTTACTGCATCCTGGACAGCGCACCAGGGCCTTGCCTAGCTAAGCACGCACTCTACCACTGCCCCACACCCCAGCCCTGGGACTCTCCATTTCAGTTTTTGTTTTAAAGCAGGGTCTTGTTTTTAGATAGTTCATGCTAGAGTTGAATTTACTGTGTAGCCCCGGCTGGCCTCAGATTCACAGCAATCCCTCTGCCTCAGCCTCCCGACGGAGGAGTTGACAGTTGTGCGGCACCATGCCCAGCTAGATTCCAAGTTTCTGACAGGCTCCCTGGGAATGCCCGTGCTGCTCTGTGGATGACCAGGATTAGCGTGATTCTAAATCACTTCTGTTTTGCTTTGAGTGCAGGTGCTGAATCGGTTCTCTTCGGCCCCCCTGATTCCACTCCCAACCCCTCCCATTATTCCAGTACTACCTCAGCAGTTTGTCCCCCCTACAAATGTCAGAGACTGTATCCGCCTTCGGGGGCTTCCCTATGCGGCCACAATAGAGGACATCCTGGACTTCCTGGGGGAGTTCTCCACGGATATTCGCACTCATGGGGTTCACATGGTACTGAATCATCAGGTAAGAAACTTGCTCATTAGAAAACTTGCTTCTTCTGGCGATTAAAGGGTCTCTTTTACTCAAATAGTGCAAATATTCCTTAGTTTTATATGAAGTCTTTAAGGAAAGATTTAACTGTAAATATAGGAAGTATTTTGGAGCCGGGCATGGTTGTGCAAGCCTGTAATCCCAACACTCGAGAGGCCAAGGCAGGAGGATCAATGTGAGTTCGAGACCAGCCTGGGTTACAAAGTGAGCTCAAGCCAGTCTGAACTGCATAGTGAGACTCTTGTCTGAAAAAGGCAGAGAGAAAAAAAAAAAAAAAAAAAGTATTTTGGATGTACTCCAGAAAGAATGCTGCCACTGTTATGATTATTGAATTTCAGCACTCATCCCTTCATTGCATAAGCATCCACCCTGTTATGGGTAGCATCCGGTCAGAGCCAGTTAGGTGGTCGTGTGTCCCACATGCAGCTGCTGAATTCTGTCTGGTGCTCTGTGTGCTAAGGAGTGCGCTGCTAAGCAGCTCCACCAAAATCTAATCGTGCTCTTTCACTGTGCCCCTGTTGCCTGCTTTCTGGTTAAATACAGTGTCGTAACAGTTGCTTGACGATTTCCCAGGGTTTTCTGTTAAGCAGGACAAAAGTCTATAAACCTTCGTAAGGCAAATAGTTCTAATTAAAGCTTTGGAACTCTATTAAAAAGGAAGTTGCATTCGGTTTTGAAGATCTTTGCTGAGCACTGATGGGTTGACTGTAGGCTAATATTGGAAATCCTGACTTTTGTCCTCACTGCTGATCTCCCGTTTCTTCTTTTCACTGGGAGATTTGGTCACGTTCATAACTCTAACCTTGCCTCTCTAGAAGCATTGAGTACAGGAATCAGAAAATGTTTTTTTTTTTTTTTAATTTTAAAGAGTAAAAGAAGGATGACATAATAATAGGGTGGCTTACCAAATTACAGACAAAGTTGTAGGAAATTATCAGTGGTTATTGTTTTACATATTGTTATTTACAAGATAGTTTCTCAGGAAAACAAATAGACAAATAATAGTGAGTTACAGACAAAAGAGGTAGGAGATTATCAATAGTTGTTGCACTATACTTTGGTATCT